GCATTGGCAGTTCCTACTATCTCTGTAACAGAGTTGAAATCAACGTACGTTCTTCATTTCTGCAAGAGTCTTGATTGGAATCTCATGCTAGAAATACAAAACTTTGTCTTAAAAGTAAAAAAAAAGGTAGGAACCAGGCTGCAATCTGACTGTCACTTGGAAAATCTGGCCTAGTATAGTCTTAAAATTTGAACTGGTTCTTTCAAGACTGAAATTGCAAAGCATTTTATCTCACAAAAGATGCATTTGAAATCCATAGCTTGCCACAGCAAAATATTGTGAATATTGGATCATTTGAACTTCTCAGAAGTGATAAGAGATTTGTTTGGTAAGGATATCAAGGAATATGGAAGAAATGAATTCAGCCATGAGCTAATTGAAAAGTGGAACAGGATTTGAGAGACTGAATTGCCTGTTGTTGTTCCTATGTTTCCAATCCATTTTGTCTTCTCTCTGTTCCCCAGTTTAATAAATTGGTGCATAAACTTGAGCAATGGGATCAATTACAGCATTTAAACGGAATCTCTCCAAATTTTGATGTATTATCCTGCATTTGTACCCATTAAAGTCAAAATCCATTCCTCATCTCACCCAGTTAATTGGTCTAAATCTACTTTTAATGCTATCTTTTATAGATTAGTTGCATGACAAAGCATCAGTATCTTAGTCCACATTTTTAGGGCTTAGAGAAGACCTTGAAAGGATTGCATGCTTGTCAAAGTAAAAAGGTCATTGTTCACTTTTTCCATTTCTAATTTCTGACAAATTATTTCTGTTTTCTGTAAATTGAGTCACTTCACTTGCAGACATTAAATGTCAACGAAACAATGCGGCTGCAAAAACAAAACACTTTATATTTTGAAACAAAATACCTTGAAGTAGAATGTGTGGACAGAAATTGGAGAAAATTAAAATCAGAAATAACATGTCAGTGTTGGGAAAGAGCTTATTCCTGAAGTATTAATGAGAACGAAAATAAAAAATGATCTCAAAACAATTTTGTGTTAAGAAGTGGAACAGGTAAAGGAGCCAGAACGCTGTGGCTGCTGCTGCTGCTGCTGTTTGCTACTTCACCTGCTGGAAGATCTGCTATCATATTATTGCATGCTTGTTTGTCATTCTCATCATCCAACAATGCCTAAGTTGACCCTGTTTCTGTTGCCTTCCATTTTGACTTCTAGAAGGTTCTCCAGCTCTTCAGCTCTGATCAAATAGTATAACGACTGATATTTTATTTTCTGAATGTCACTTTTTAGAGTTTTCTTTTTCTCTTGCAATTTCGAGCGCCTCTTTGTTTGTCTTGTTTTCTGTGTGTGGAATTTTTAGTGTACTTCTGAACATCCAAATTTCAAAGGCCTGTTTTCTGCCAGATCTTTACTTATTGTCCAGGTTTCTGAGGGGTACAGGAAAGTGGATAGAATGTGGCATCTCCTCAGACTTTCCTTGTTACAGGCTTAAATGTGTGAACAAAAAACTAATTTTCACAAAATTACTTCTACTTAACCTCTATCCTTCTAATTTCTGCATTTCATCTACCACCTTCCATTATCATTTATGCTAAATAGACAAACCTATCTGCTTGTTTCAGAGTGGCACTATTCACTTCAATCTCTGCTCCTGTTTTTTATGGAATCCTTCTAACTATCATTGATTTTATCTTTTTGATGTTTACACTTAATCCATATTCTAAACTTTTTGAGATTTTACTTGATCCAGGATATTAGTACATCTGATTCACCAGGGTGATGGTGGATTGGTATAAAAGACAGCTAAGAAATGGTGGAGGTTGTTTGATTCAAGAAATTCTTTGTAGTTGCGATTGTGGGACCACAAGCTGTTTCAGATTGATTGGGGCTTGTCTAAAGCGGTTGGATGTTACTTTCTCCTGCTGTTGGTTATTACGAGCCTAGACTGAATGGGTTCAGTGATTTCTTTCTGTATTGGACTATACTATGATTCTGAGCTGAGTGAATGATTTGAAACTTACAGTTAGGAGCATGTTTATTCAGTACTTTCTCTAACAGGAATTGTGGTTTTGCTTTGGAGGAGCTTCTTGAGCATGCATAACTGATTTATAGGAAGTTTATTTAAGTCATTTGCTGCCACTTTAAAAGAAAATATATCTTGTGAATGGATTAACTACCTTTTTAATTGGGCATTTGTATCACTGCATTTGTGGAATTTGAAGAAATATTTATTGAATGAGAAATGGTTCACTTAACCCAATACCAAATTTTCCTCCTTCTTAATTAAAGGGAAATATCACTGGGTAAGAAGGGAAAGGAAAAAATGAAAATACTTTGAGATCCCAAACCCCACAAGGTCTGAGGAGAGGTATTTATATTTGGAAGTTTAACCATGTGGGAGCACAGGAAAAAAATTTTAAAAACTGGAACCCTTAGCTAAAAGTACTTCAGTCAATGCTATGTAAGTTGTAACTAGGCTCCTGACAGTGTGAGACAAAATGCCGTGTTTTGGATTGTAATAGCCTTTGTACTATTACAATTGACTTGTTATGTATTTCTTCAGGAGATGCTGTGGATATGCCTTCTGTTCAGTTACCAAGGTAGGAAATTATTTTTGAATAAAACAATGTATTGTCACACTGTTTCTTGCATATTGTACACTTGTTATCCTTGATCTTTTAAATTATGAGTTGGCTGTTGTCAATGTTGCTTTGTCTGTAGGATTTGAATGAAGAGAAATTTTCCTACAATGTCTGCCGGAACTGGGAAAAATGCAGTTCCCACAAGACAAAAGCAAAATAGTGGATATTGGAAATCTGAAATAAAATCAGAAAATGTTTTAATTTTGGGATAACTTTTTATTAAGGTCTGTTTTAGCCCCCAGAGTTTGACTGAGGGCAATCTAGTTTTGATGGGTTTATTTCTAATTTAACAAGGCCATATTAGCAATTGAATCTGAGTTTGTCCTGGGCAGAATGAATCAACGTTATACAATGTTCATGTACTGAACAATGGGGTACCTACTGGACTGAAGCTTTAATTCAAAAATGATGCATTTTCTAAATATCATTAACCTTCTTTTAGTTGTTTTCATTCTGATCAATGCATGCTTGAAATGTTGTCTTGGGAATTTCATCTTTAAAACCATTTTCTTTTGTTAAATCTGTAAAAGCTGAAATCCAAATTAAATGTAGTCTGATAATATTAAAAGAACTTTAAATTTCTGGCAATATTTGAATTGGAGGATGCTTTGCAATCTGAAGTTTTGTCACTGCAGTGCTGAAGGTGATTCTATCAAGGTCTATGTAAGAGTACGACCACCAGCAAAGAACACAGAATTGTTTACAGATGGAAATCAAGGACTGTGTTTGGCAGTTACCTCATCAACTACTATTCATCTTAATTCAAAACCTGATCCCAAGATCTTCACATACGATCATGTGGCTGATATGGACACCACTCAGGTACTGCAGAGATGACATGAAACTTGGAGTTCTACTGTGAATAGATATCAATTTTAATGTTGTGATGTTGACAAATGATGCATGGAGAGGAAGCATGAAGGTTTCCTTTAATTTTAAGTTCTTTGCCATACTTGAACCATATCATATTGCTTCTCCTGACTGATGGTGCCATTAGATTGTTTATTCCATGCTTTGCATGGAAAGAAAAATCCCACTGTCGTTTCAGGCGGCAGATAAATTACCTATGATGTGTTCTGAAAAGTATTTTTGAACTTTACACTGCACTAATTGTACTTTTTATTATGAAATTCCAACAAATGTTCCATTTTTATTTTGTAGCTATATGTAAGAATTTGATTTAAATAGCTTGCATTGCTTTCACTGCCAGATTGAGAGATTGCATCTGGTGTATCTTGCTGATATATTTTTGAGACCTCTTTCTCCCATTTCCCCACGTTATTTTTAAACATTGACTGATGATTCTCTGTTCAATAAGCACGCATACCATAAAAGGCAGATTATGCGTTGTTCCAGGTCAACCATAACCTCAAAAATTAATCATGTTGTTACTGTGATAATACATTCAAAAATGGGTACTTTGAGGGTAGGCCTTTGCAGTTGAAAGGTGGGAATGTTGTTAACTATTTTGCTATGTTTTAAAGAAAACTGTTGCCTGCATTTTGCAGCCCTTTTCACAACCTGAGAATGTTCAAACTTTTTTACAACCAATGAAGTGATTTTCTTATTGCTATTTCAGTATGGGAAATGTAGCAGCTAGCTTGTACACAGCCGGGTACCACAAACAGCAATCCTGACAATGACCACGATTTTAGGATGAAGAATAAATATTTAGATTGTTTTAAAGCTATACGATTTTTTGTTGTTCACGGGGTGTGGTCATCACTATCTGGATCAGCATTTGTTGCCTATCTGTGCCGTTTCAATTAAATTAAATAAATAAATATGTGCAGTGTTACAAAATGATCCACGTGTCTATAAAATGTTGATTTTTAAATATGCATTTTCTTACCGTCATCCTGCAGGAAGCAGTGTTTTCAGCGGTGGCTCGGGGCATTATTGAGTCCTGCATGAATGGATATAACGGTACAATTTTTGCCTAGTAAGTAATTTATAAATTATTTTACAATGAAGTAATTTGATTATTAACAGAAGTTATAATTGTTCTTCTGCATCATATTCAGATTATAATGAAGTGGTAAAACAAGATACCAAGTTGGTTGCTGGGATTCATTCATTCTAATTGTATCCATCATTAAAGCTTTTACTTTTAGATGTTGAGTGTGATTCTTCTTGTTATGTTGGTAGCAAGCGTTTGATGTGTTATGTTTTTGCCAACTACGTTACCAACGTTTGTGCCATTTGCAACCTAATTGACCATGGTTCTTAAAGGATAGCTGTTATAAGCAATGGTATACTGATGGAGTGTAGAATATTCTAGATTGGGATAGATTTGCAGGAATTCAGATATTCAGATAGTGTACCCGATCTTGGAATATCAATGTTGACATGAGAAGCTTCAAATGGATAAGTGTTCTGTTTCTAATGCAGTCATTGTTTATCTTTAGCACAAGTATCTAGCCATTTTACTGGATAATTACAATACAGTATCATTAGTCTGTTTTGTAAATGCATCAAATTTACTTTAAGTGCTGTTCCTGAGAACAGTCATTATTTGTACATTCTAGTAGAGAATTCTACTATAATGTAAGTTGGAAGAAGTTGTTGTGTGCTGTTGCAGGGTGTTCAAATTTCATGTGAACTCCAAACACCAGACCCTAGTCCTTGTCAAGAATGCTTCTTTCCATCTCTGCAATATTTCCCCACTGCCGCTTCTGGAAATCTAATCCATGCTTTTGTTCACCTCCAAGTGCAATGATTCCAATAGTTTTCTTGCTTTTTTTTTTTAAAATCCTCACTCTGTGAACTCTGTTTTGTCCAAAATACAGCTGTCTGTTTCCTGTCATACTTCAAGACTTGTTTGCCCATCGCTCCCATCTATAAAACTGCTTGGCTGGCATTCCACTAGGTATTGAGTTTAAATACCTAATTTATAGATTTTACATCATGACTTCAATTGCCTCTGAAAGTAATCTGCTCCAGACTTTTTCCGGTGCATCTTTTTATGTTCTCCAGTTCTGCTTCTTTTTGATACTTTGTATGTTGTTTTTTGACTCTGAAATGGGTAATTTTTCAAATGGTTTGTTAGAAGTGAATTAGCGATGGAATTTGATGAAATGGTTGTTAATCTCATAATGTTCTACTGAACAAGGAAAGCTGGCTAAACTTTTAGCCTATGTTTAAAGATTCTCGTTAAACTAAAATGTTGAATTGTACAAATCAACATTGTGAAGTGATTTACAAAAAATTATATTTCTTTTTCTTAGTGGACAAACTGGTTCGGGAAAGACATTCACAATGTTAGGTATGTAGATAATTTTAAACATTTTTATATTTTGCTCTATCAGATGATGAAAGACCTGATTTACCAATCAAATTGGAAAATCCATCTTTCAAATTTAACCTATTATTAGGTATAGTGCACAAAAACCAGATAAGAAAGCAATAAGTATGCTTATTCATTTGTAACATTACAATATGGTGACATGTTATTTTGTGATCCGTTAAATATTATTCATAGAATATAAACTGGGTATAAAAGGAGTTGTATAAGCGCAATTTTTTTGTCAGGCAATGACTTGCTTGTTGTAGAGGCATGGAGATATACAGCACAGAAACAGACACTTCGGTCCAACTCATCCATGCCGACCAGGTATCCTATATAAATCTAGTCCCATTTGTCAGCATTGGGCCCTCATCCCTCTAAACCCTTCCTATTCATGTACTCATCCAGATGCCTTTTAAATGTCGCAATCGTACCAGCTTCTATCACTTTCTCTGGCAGCACATTCCATACATGCACCACCTCTGTGTGAAAAAGTTAGGTCCCTTTTATATCTTTCCCCTCTCACCTTAGTTTTGGACTCCCCCACCCCAGGGATAAGACCTTGCCTATTTATCCTATCCATGCCCCTCATGATTTAAAACCTCTACAAGGTCACCTCTCAGCCTCTGACGCTCCAGGGAAAACAGCTCCAGCCTATTCAGCCTCTCCCCGTAGCTCAAACCCTCCAACCCTGATTTGCCTTTCCAAAATGCAGCACCTCACATTTATCTAAAATAAGCTCCATCTGCCACTTGGCTCATTGGTCCATCTGATCATGATCCCATTGTACGCTGAGGTAACCTCTTTCGCTGTCCCTACACCTCCAATTTTAGTGTCCTCTGCAAACTTACTAAACGTACCTCCAATGTTCACATTCCAAATCATTTATATAAATGACAAAAAGCAGTGAACCCATCTTTGTGGCACATGGCTGGTTACAGGCCTCCAGACTGAAAATCAGCCCTCCACCATCACCCTCTGAGTTCTACCTTTGAGCCAGTTCTGTCTCCAAATAGCTAGTTCTTCCTATATTCCATGTGATCTAACCTTGCTAACCAGTCTACCATGAGGAACCTTACTGAGGCCCATATAAATCATGCACATTGTTTTGCCCTCATCAATCCTCTTCGATAGTACTTCAAAAAACTCAATCAAGTCAGTGAAACACGATTTCCCATGCACAAAGTCATGTTGACTATCCGTAATCAATCCTTGCCTTTCCAAATACATGTAAATCCTGTCCCTCAGGATTCCCTCCAACAACTTGCTCAACACCAATGTCGGGCTCACTTGTCTGTAGTTCCCTGGCTTTTCCTTACCACCTTTCTTAAATAGTGGCATGTTAGCCAACCTCCAGTCTTCTGGCACTTCACCTGTAGCTGCAGATGATACAAATATCTCAGCAAGGGGCTCAGCAAGGGGCCCAGCAATCTCTTCCCTCACTTCCCATAGAGTTCTAGGATACACCTGATCATGTCCTGGGGATTTGTCCACCGTTATGCATTTTAAGACGCTTAGCACCTCCTCCTCTGTAATATGGAAAGTTTTCAAGATGTCCCTATTTATTTCCCCACGTTCTCTATCTTCCATATCCTTCTCCACAGTAAACACTGACGCAAAGCACTCGTTTTGTTTCTCCCCCATCTCCTACGGTTCCATACTTAGGTGGCCTTGCTGATCTTTAAGGGACCCTATTCTCTCGCTAGTCACCCTTTCATCCTTAATATTTTTGTAGAATCTCTTTGGATTCTCCTTAACCCTATTTGCCAAAACTATTTTGGGGCGGCACGATGGTTCAGTGGTTAGCACTGCTGTCTCACAGCGCCAGAGACCCGGTTCGATTCCAGCCTCGGGCAACTGTCTGTGTGGAGTTTGCACATTCTCCTCGTGTCTGTGTGGGTTTCCTCCGGGTGCTCCGGTTCCCTCCCACAGTCCAAAAGATGTGCATGGTAGGTGGGATTGGTTATGCTAAATTGCCCATAGTGCCCAGGGATGTATAGGTTAGGTGGGTTAGACAAGGGAAATGTGGGGAATGGATCTGGGTGTGATGCTCTTTGGAGGGACGGTGTGGACTTGTTGGGCTGAATGGTCTGTTTCCACACTGTAGGGATTCTATGTATATTTCATGCCCCCCTTTTGCCCTCCTGATATCCCACTGAAATATACTCCTACTGTCTTTACACTCTTCTAGGGATTCACTCGATCCCTGTTGTCTATACTTGACATATGCTTCCTTCTTTTTCTTGACCAAAACGTTAATTTCTTCAGTCATCCAGCATTCCCTACACGTACCAGCTTTGCCCTTCACCCTAACAGGAACATACTGTCTCTGAACTCTTGTTATCTCATTTTTGAAGGCTTCCCATTTTCCAGCCGTCCCTTTACCTGCAAACATCCACCCCCAATCAGCTTTTGAAAGTTCTTGCCGAATACCGTCAAAATTCGCCTTCCTCCATTTAGAACTTTAACTTTTATATTCAGTCTATCCTATTTAAAAACTAATAGAATTATGGTCACTGGCCCCAAAGTGCTCCCCCACTGACACCTCAGTCACCTAACCTGCCTTATCTCCCACGAGAAGGTCATGTTTTGCACCTTCTCTAGTAGGTACATCCACATGCTAAATCCAAAAATTTTCTTGTGCACATTTAACAAATTCCTCTCCATCCAAGCTCTTAACACTAAGCAGTCCCAGTCTATGTTTGGAAAATTAAAATCCCCTACCGTAACCACCCTATTATTCTCACAAATAACTGAGACCTCCTTACAAATTTGTTTTTCAATTTCCGGCTGACTACTGGGGGCTCAAGAGTACAATCCCAATAAGGTGATCATCCCCTTCTTATCTCTCAGTTCCACCCAAATAACTTCCTTGATTGTATTCCCAGGAATATCCTCCCTAAGTACAGCAGTAATGTTATCCTTAATCAAAAACGCCACTCCCCTTCCTCTCTTACTCCCTTTTGTATCCTTCCTATAGCATCTATACCCTGGAACATTAAGCTGCCAGTCCTGTCCATCCCTGAGCCATGTCTCTTAAATTGCTATGATCTTCCAGTCCCATGTTCCCAACTGGGCCCTGAGTTCATCTGCCTTACTTGTTCGACTTCTTACATTGAAATAAATGCAGTTTAACTATCAATCCAAACTCATTCTCTGCTTTGTTCCTGCCTGCCCTGACTATTTGACTTACTCCTCTTCCCAGCTGTATCAGTCTCAGATTGCTCCCTTTCCTCACTCTCTCTCTGTTTCCTCCCCCACCCCCCAACCAAACCCTTTACTAGTTTAAATCCTTCTGAGCAGCTCTAGAAAATGTCTCCGTCAGTATATTAATCCCCTTCTAATTCCTTCGTATACAGGTCATTTCTATCCCAGAAGAGATTCCAATGATCCAGAAATGTGAATCCTTCTCCCCTGCACCAGCTCCTCAGTCACGCATTCATCTGCTCTATCCTCCTATTCCTACCCTCACTAGCGTGTGGCACCGGGAGTAATCCAGATATTACTACCCTCGAGGGTCTCCTTTTTAAATTCGTACCTAACTTACTATGTTCTCTCAGAATCTTGCCCTTATCTCTTCCTATGTCATTAGTTTTAATGTGTACAAGAACCTTCTGCTGGTCCCTCTCACCTTTGAGAATACTCTGCACCTTCTCCGAGATATCCTTGATCCTGGCACCTGGGAGGCAACACACCGTTCTGTTGTCTTGCTGTCAGCTGCAGAAACGTCTGTCTGTGCCTCTGGCTAGAGAGTTCCAATCACAGTTGACCGCTTGGAATCTGGCGTACCCCTCGTTACGTTAGAGCCTGTCTTGGTACCAGAAACCTGGCTGTCAGTGCGACCTTCCCCTGAGACCCCATCACCCCGTGCATTTTCCAAACCAACTTGCTTGTTTGAGATGGAGATAGTCACAGGAGACTCCTGCACTACCTACCTCCCTCGCCTACCTTTCCTGGAGGTCACCCATCTCCCTGACTGTATCTTCAGTTTATCTCCCTTCCTGCAACTGCCATCCATCACACCCCCAGCTCCTATAAATCCCTCACTGCCTTTAATTGCCGCTCCAACCGATTCATGCAGTCTGATAGGATTCGTAATCAAGCACACTTCTTGCAAACATAATAATCAGTAACATGGAAACTCTCCCTAATCTCAGAATGACAGGAAGAGCACATCACTCTACTAGAGGCCATCTTGGCACGTTAACAATTTACAGACCCAGAAAATAGCATAGCCTTACTGCTCTAAAAACACTGCTCCAGGCTAACTTAGTACCTGTGTTTTATATTTTTAAAGTTTAATCACGAGACAGATCTCAATAAAAAATGTAATCAAAAAAAACCCCACTCTACTCACTATTATAGATTTGCAAAAAAGACCAGCTACTTAGCTGCTTCCCTGCTGTGATCTCCCCACACAGGTTTCTCCAAGGTCAGCTGTGAATTTTGCTATTGTTTATTTTTCTTAGACAATCTCCGATGTCCAGAGGTACTTGAAATCAAATGGCAGAGGTGTTTGTGTGCTAAAACTCATAGCTCAATGATGGTTTGGATGGGGTTAATTTTGAAAAGTTTAGCTTTCTAATCTCACTCTATGTGAGGCAGTTGAGAATAAAGCCTGTATAATATATAAGTAATAGTTCAGTGTGATTCTGTGCTCAGTCCATTGTCATGCAAAACTTAACCCTTGGCATATAATGATTTGTTTTCTTTGACCATTTTGCGAAGTTAAATTCTTATCTAGTTATAAATATTGTGGTTTGTATTTTCAGGTCCATCTGATGATTCTGATAACTTCACCCATAATTTGAGAGGTGTAATCCCTCGCAGTTTTGAATACCTCTTTTACTTGATCAATCGGGAAAAGGAAAAGGTATTTTTCATATTTTTAAGCACTTTTTTACATTTCTTTTTATTGTTTTTACAATAGCATACAGTGTCGGATTTAAAATATCTCTCAACACTTTAGCAAATTACCATAATTTACAGAGACAAATATACTCATGAATGATGTGTAAATTTGTTTTTGTGTTATTATTTGAGGGAGGACTGTTGGCCAAGACATAACTCTCTGTTCAGTATCTCTCTGTTACTGCTGATCATTTCAATATAATGCTTCATCTAAAGCATAGTATCTCTGAAAGTATGCATTCTTTCAATACTGCTGTGGACTGCAAATCTTCTCAATACTGCTGTGGACTGCAAATCTTAAGTCTTATATTATGGCTGAATGTACACCTTCTGAGCCAGAGATTGATTGATTGATTGTTTGTTTGTTTTTACCTTCAAGTATGTTTTCCTCGTTGAATGGTGGGGAAGATTTGAAAGGGTTAACAAGGTGATTACCAACCTGTTGAACCACATCATGAATGCTCCTTCTATGGCCAACAAGTTTTAGAGTGAGACTTTAACCTGATGGTTTTGGCACAATAACAGGGATGGTACATACTCAGTCACAAGACCACCAGCCACAGCTGAGACAGCCATCAACTAAGCAAGCTGTTAAATTACATTTTTTTTTACGTTTAATAATCTAATTCTATATTCTTTAACAGACTGGTGAAGGCAAGGATTTTCTCTGCAAGTGCTCCTTTATTGAGATTTACAACGAACAAATATTTGATCTGTTAGACCCTGCTTCAACAGGCTTATTTCTTCGAGAAAATATTAAAACTGGGGTCTTTGTGGAAGGGGTAGTCGAACAAGTTGTAACTTCAGCAGCTGAGGCATATCAGGTAATTTTAACACTACTTCACCACCACTGAGTTCGTTCACAACATATCAAAACAGGTTGATTTTAAAAATACTATGATCCAAAGTGCTATGTACTTTGTTTAGTTATGATCACCGTAAATTCTACTACTTTTTTTTTGCCACCATTATAATTAACCTAGTCCCTTTTTGGCAAATTGTCATTTCTGGATTTCTCTCAAAGAAGATTGTTTCTGTATCTAGATATTTTCTAGTGGGTTGAGTTCATTAAAAAATGAAGAATATCTATTGTGAAAATACATCAAATTTTATCATATTCTCAGCTATTGTGAATCATGCTGTCTAGATTCTTTGTTGATGTGTAAACGTCTATGCTTGTTTAATATATAAAATTATATATATAATATATTATAATTATATAATTCACATATAAAATTATTTTAGCAACTACAAAAATGGCATTAATCCATTGATTATGTTGAACAGGACTGTTTTACAAACTTGCTAAAGCATTTTTAAGATTTGCAATTTGTTTTAGTTTATTACATGAACCATAATTGACCATGAATTTGTTTTATCCTGTTGCTATGAAAACCTATGTTTTAATTATGCAATGTGATTACCACAGTTTTAAGAAGATACAAGATGTTAAAGTGATTCTATTAGATCAAGGTTCAAATAGAAAACGGAATGAACACAGTAGCAATTTTAAATATCTTTTTGAATAAATATGCAGGGATTGTGGTCATGTGCGGTGAAGGTATGAAGTGTTTTTCTAATTTCTAATAGGTGTTATCCATGGGTTGGCGGAACAGAAGTGTAGCTTCGACCTCAATGAACCGAGAGTCATCACGGTCTCATGCTGTCTTCTCAGTTACAATACAATCAAAGGAAAAGATCAACAACCTAGTTAATATCCGAACATCGCAGCTGAACCTGGTTGACTTGGCAGGGTCAGAACGACAGAAAGATACACATGCTGAAGGGCTTCGGTTAAAGGTAAGCTGAATTGCTATCATCAGCCCTCAGAGAGAATGAGGACCATGATTCCCTGTAAACTCCAGCCCTGCATATTAGAATTGGTGTTTAACAGGTACAAAAAGAAACTGTCTTTGTGATTAAATTCACATGCATCTGGATAAATCTTGATTCCAATCTCAAATCTTCAAATTATTTTTTAGTAAATTTTTGTGGCCAATTGAAACCTTTAGTTTAATGAGCATGCATTATTTGAAGATTAGGAGATTAAAAACTGACAACTTTTTTATTGTTATTTTTCCTTTCTGCATCTTTTAGGAGGCAAGCAGTATAAACCGATCGCTGAGTTGTCTGGGACATGTTATTATGGGCCTTGTTGATCTGGCTAATGGGAAAAGCCGCCACATCTGTTACCGAGATTCTAAACTGACATTCTTGCTGAGGGTAATGTAAACATTCCATTGTTGAACGCTTCTTTGAAATTTTATCAATTAAAGATGATGTGACATTCATCAAAAGCTTAATCTTGAAAGAGGACACATTTTTAGAGTCTCATCAGCTGCAAATTTGAAGCCATGCTTTTGGATAAGTGGAGCTTGGGTAAAAATTTCAACAATACATACCGATTAATTTTATAGAAGTTTTGATATATGAATGGATAGCAAATTTTGGTAAACTGGTTATCTGCTACTGTTATGTAAAAACAGTTGAACTATCAACAGGTTAAATAAAAAAATTTGTTGCAGGACTCTCTTGGAGGAAATGCAAAGACTTATATTATTGCAAATGTTCATCCTGGGTCACGGTGTTTTGGTGAAACGCTCTCCACCCTTCAGTTTGCTCGTAGAGCAAAGCTAATCAAAAATAAAGTGAGTTGAAGGTTTTTTGATCTGTTCAATGTTTGTCTTTAATATTAGTTAATGAAGTAATAGTTACACATCTGATCATGTAATTGTGACCATGTAACAGCCTCCCTAATTGTTTATTTGGTTATGGGCAAGTTGAACCATATAAACCCAGGAAAGTTTATGGGACAGCCTTAGAATCCTTACGGTTGGCTTCAGAATCCAGATTAGGGGTGAGAGAAATGGGTGTTCCAGTTTCAGATTTTTTCCAGTGACCATCGATGGAAGAAAAGTACTTGTGTTATGTGCTTGGTTCCAGTGCCTTTCAGTTAAACAGTCTGCTGTCATGTAAATAATGGAGGATCCGTGTATCCTTTTAAAAACAAATATTGTTTTGGAAGAGTCCAGGGAACATAATTTTAAAATAATTAGATTTTAAAAGAACAATATGTGAAGAGTAACGTTTATGTCTGTAAATGTTATGACCCCTTTAGGCTTTCTATTTAGTTTTTGTTTGAAACTGAACAGTAATAATCCATGCAGATGCTCTCTTGTGGACAAAATGGTTATGTTTTTCAGTATTCATCTCAACTTTATAGTCAGTCAAGCATGAAGATGGTTAATACTGTTTAAGGACATCTGATAATTTATTACAACAAGGTGCAGAGCTGGATGAACACAACAGGCCAAGCAGCATCGTAGGAGCAGTAAGGCTGACGTTTTGGGCCTAGACCCTTCATCAGAAATGGGGGAGGGGAAGGGGGTTCTGAAATAAATGGGGAGAGAGGGGGAGGCGGATAGAAGATGGATAGAGGAGAAGATAGGTGGAGAGGAAACAGACAGGTCAAAGAAGTGGGGATGGAGCCAATAAAGGTGAGTGTAGGAGGAGAGGTAGGGAAGAGATAGGTCAGTCCAGGGAGGACGGACAGGTCAAGAGGGCGGGATGAGGTTAGTAGGTAGGAAATGGGGGTGTGGCTTGAGGTGGGAGGAGGGGATAGGTGGGAGGAAGAACAGGTTGGCGGGGGGACGAGCTGGGCTGGTTTTGGGATGCAGTAGGGGGAGGGGAGATTTTGAAGCTTGTGAAATCCACATTGATACCATTGGGCCGCAGGGTTCCTAAGCGGAATATGAGTTGCTGTTCCTGCAACCTTTGGGTGGCATCATTGTGGCACTGCAGGAGGCCCAGGATGGACATGTCGTCTGAGGAATGGGTGGGGGAGTTGAAATGGTTCGCGACTGGGATGTGCAGTTGTTTATTGCGAACCGAGCATAGGTGTTCTGCAAAGCGGTCCCCAAGCCTCCACTTGGTTTCCCCGATGTAGAGGAGGCCACAATGGGTACAGCGGATGCAGTATACCACCTTAGCAGACGTGCAGGTGAACATCTGCTTGATGTGGAAACTCTTCTTGGGGCCTGGGATGGGGGTGAGGTAGGAGGTATGGGGGCAGGTGTAGCACTTCCTGCGGTTGCAGGAAAAAGTGCCAGGTGTGGTGGGGCTGGAGGGGAGTGTGGAACGGACAAGGGAGTCACAGAGAGAGTGGTCCCTCCGGAAAGCAGATAAGGGTGGGGAGGGAAAAATGTCTTTGGTGGTGGGGTCGGATTGCAGATGGCGGAAGTGTCGGAGTATGATGCATTGGATCCGGAGGTTGGTGGGATGGTACGTGAGGACGAGGGGGATTCTTTTTTGGTTGTTATTGCGGGGACGGGGTGTGAGGGATGAGTTGCGGAAAATGCGGGAGATATGGTCAAGGGCGTTCTCGACCACTGAGGGGGGGAAGTTGCGGTCCTTGAAAAACGAGGACATCTGAGATGTGCGGGAGCGGAATGCCTCATCCTGGGAGCAGATGCGGAAAAAAAAAAAAAAAAAAAAAACAGGGATGGCATTTTTGCAGGAAGGTGGGTGGGAGGAAGTGTATTCTAGGTAGCTGTGGGAGTTGGTGGGCTTGACATGGATATCGGTTTCTAGGTGGTTGCCCGAGATGGAGACAGAGAGGTCTAGGAAGGAGAGAGAGGTATTAGAGATGGTCCAGGTGAACTTAAGGTTGGGGTGGAAGGTGTTGGTGAAGTGGATGAACTGTTCGAGCTCCTCGTGGGAGCACGAGGCGGCGCCAATACAGTCATCAATGTAACGGAGGAAGAGGTGGGGTTTAGGGCCAGTGTAGGTACGGAAGAGGGATTGTTCCAGTAACCTACAAAGAGGCAGGCATAGCTTGGGCCCATGCGGGTACCCATGGCCATCCCCTTTGTCTTCCTACAGACACTTCCTCCGACACTTCCGCCATCTGCAATCCGACCCCACCACCAAAGACATTTTTCCCTCCCCACCCTTATCTGCTTTCCGGAGGGAACACTCTCTCTGTGACTCCCTTGTCCGTTCCACACTCCCCTCCAGCCCCACCACACCCGGCACTTTTCCCTGCAACCGCAGGAAGTGCTACACCTGCCCCCACACCACCTCCCTCACCCCCATCCCAGGCCCCAAGAAGACTTTCCACATCAAGCAGATGTGCAGGTGAACATCTGCTTGA